TCTCTTCTTTTTTCAATATTTTTTTTTAATCCTGAAATACTGGTTGAGAATCCACCAATGTGGATGCTCTAAATACAAAATTGTTAAGTACTTTGCCCGCTTTTGCTCATGGAAATTTACACGATAGCCTCTAAATAATTTAGTAAGGATGAACACTTGAAAACTTACTTCTAGAAACACAAAAGCAGGCTCTGTTTGTTTCTTTATCTCGACACAGCGTCTGGATACAACATTCAAATACCATGTTTGGACGCAGCATCCAGATGTTGTTCGTTAGTGTTTTTGATTAATGTATCTAAATATTGTAATTGGATACATTCATATTCGTTTGTGTATCTGTATTTGCATTGGGATGCACTTAACAATAAAAAGACTAAAAAAACATATTTTACTGTTTTAGCGGGAAAACAAATTTTTAATAATTTTTTTTAAAACAAATAGTATTCAAAAATCTACGGTTTTGGCGGAAAACTGAATTTTATAGTTTTGACAGAAAACGTAATTTTACAGTTTTATGGTTTTCTTATAATTTTATGGTTTTGCCGGGAAAACAAAATTTTATGGTTTTCCCGTAATTTTACGGTTTTGGCAGGAAAATAAAAATCTATAATTTTTCATGATTTTACGATTTTGGCGTAAAAATGAAAATTTATAGGTTTTTCATAATTTTACGGTTTTGGCGGGAAAACAAAATTTTACGGTTTTGGTAAGAAAACAGAATTTTACGGTTTTGGCGAGCAAACATAATTTTACAGCTTTGGCGGGAAAATAAAATTTTATGGTTTTCTCGCTATTTTATGGTTTTGAAGGGAAAACAGAATTTTACGGTTTTCTCGTGATTTTATGGTTTTGGCGAAAAAATATAACTTTACGATTATGGCAGGAAAACAGAATTTTACAGTTTTGGCAGTAAAACGGAATTTTACTGTTTCTCATGATTTCATAGTTTTAGTGAGAAAACGTAATTTTACGGTTTTGGAGAAAAACTAGAATTTTATTGTTTTCTCGTGATTTTACGGTTTTGGCGAGAAAATATAATTTATGAGTTTTGGTGAAAAAGTGATTTACTGTTTTGTTAGAAAAATGAAATTTGGAAATTTCAGAATTTAGGGTTTTTATGAAATTTATTATTTATGATATATTGATATGTAATTGTTTAAATTAGATAGGGTTATTTTACACATTTGCAATTTTTGGATGAAATATCTATATCTAGACTCTACTTTCATTTGCATCTAAAATATCTGGGTCTTTTTGGATGAGTTGATAATTTGTATCTAATTACTGTATCTAGTTCATATGCTTATTTGTAACAAACCGAACAATATATAGCTTTTGCATCTGAATACAGCAGTCGCATAAGGATCAGATAAGGAAACGAACAGCACCGCATATGTTTTTCTAATTTTCATCTTTTTATGGTCAGACAAAACACGCAAATGGTTTCAATGTTGATTTTGCAAACAGAAACAAGGAGGGATGAAGGCTTGCAGCAGCAGAGTTCTAATGTTTAGATTTATATTTTTTAGGGTTATCACCAGAAGAGTCATTAGTGTAGGAATCAAAGTGTGAGATGAAAAATTAACTAACTTCGTTTTGGCGTTAAAACAATCAGATAAAATCATAAAAGAGCAAACAAAAAAAATATATATACCAGAGAACGTTCTTTCCTATTCAGAGTTTTATAAATCTAATAAAATTCATTGATAGTTCATAGTTCTACAAAATTGTAATACTTGTACCCGTTAAAACCACAACAACAAATTTTACTTGTATTATACGCAATTATGCACACACTAAGAAGAAAAAGAAAACTAGAAAAGGGTGAGGTTTTCTTCCTGCCCAAGAAATAACAAAAACTGTCCAAACTTGAAAACCTAGAAACCCTTCAGATACATCATGGTCCCTTGTGGTGGCTCATCACACGGCGGCTTCAACATAACCAGCATTTATCAAAATATCAAAAAAAAAAAAATTATGATCTTATAGGTAAACTGATCCAAACCAAATTCTTAAACCAGACGTAACAAAAAATTTGCTAAACTAAATCGAACCATACTCCGGTTCCAGTTCATTTATGAATGAACTGAATGCTCCACATCAAGTGCATAAATGTTTACTTCATGTTAACCAATTGGGATAGGACCTGTGAGATAAGCAAACCAACTCCAATCATTACTTAAAATTGAAACTCTTTCACAATAAATTTGGAGGCCTTTTTCTTCCAAGACAAACGAGCTTCACTTCATTGTCTATGTTGAGAATTGATAACAACTTATTTACAGTAATGATTGGAGTTGGATTGCTTATCTCACAGGTCCTATATCCCAATTTTTTTTGGGATTTCTTATTAATATCAAACAATTTTCTTTTCTTCTCTTTGCTTTCAGTAAGAGAGACAATTTGCCAAGAAAATGCTCTAAAACAAACCTTTTTATCTTTAAAAAGTTTGTATTACAAGGGAATTATATTGGTCATGTCTATCATCGGAATTATATTCCCAAATGGGCATCACACAGCTGACTTTATAATCAGAGATGAGCGTGACATATTATAATTATTCCAAACTCAACTGAAGCAAACAGATGAAATACTCTCATGATAGTATAATCAACGATAACGGCGGAAACTAATGTTTGTGACTTGTGATCCTTAGTTCCCTTTTAAGTTTTCAATAGAGACAAATCCTAACGCCTCTCCTCGCAAAAAGTAGTAATTAATCTGAGCAATTTGGGGAGAAATTGTCATAATAATCTTTCAAGTAGACGCAAGCTTGAAAGGGAAAGCAAATACATATCAAATGTGATCAAACTTTTGAATCACATTTGCTTTCTTCCCATAGAGAATGGTGTGGCCATAATGGTCCCTTGAATCTGACGTGGCGGTATATAAGCCACATCAGCAATTCACTTTGGTCAGAGTATATATTTTACTTTACTCCAAAAATAACAGTCATGTAATTCTCACTAAGCTGGTTGAAAAACACAATTATAAACTAAGCAACTTTCGTTAAACTGTTTATCTTAAAGCTAAGCATATTCTTTAAACTGAGTAACTTCCAAATTTTCATACTCACAAGACCACACAAAAACACTTGATCCGTTTATTTAATTACTTTCGCCAATCAGGTTCTCCCATCAAGGATTATTATTGATCAATGATCCAACATTATGTAATTTACTATGCAAATTTTTGTTAAACTGTTTTGTCTCAAAAGCTACAATTAAAATCAGGCAGGAGATTCGGTACAATAAGTGAATGAAGAATTGGCGATTTCATTAGTAAAATTCGAATGAGACTCGAGATCATAAACTATTTCTCAGTGCGAATACATAATAGCAAACCTAACAATAAGAAGAAGAAAACTTCATTGGATCTCCATAAGAAGGTGTCTGATTCAACTGACCAAGCTGTAGAAGTGGGTTTAGAGTCGGAATGTTGTTGTTGCCGCAGCTTCCAACAAATCCTTGTGCCCCAAGTAAAGCCGAACTCATCAGATTGTTGTTAAACGGAGTCAACGCTTGGTCAAAGCTTGAAGAAGCAGAGTCGCCCAATTGAGTAAACGTAGCGTTGTCATGGTTATACAGAAAAACCGAAAACTTGCTCTGAGGATGATTCAACGAATCAGTTGCGAAGCCACCATTCATGAGATGAGGATCGTCAAATAGCGAACTTGATGATACATTGGTCGATGGATCGTTGATTAGTGAAAAAGAAGAAGAAGAATTCGTTGAGAAGAAGCATGAAAGAACCCCAAAGTTTTGATTTTGTTCAGACCCACAATCGGATAAACGAGATGATGAAGCCGCCGCACGGCTCTGATCTGGTTCGGTGTGATGATCCTTAGGGTTAAGAAGCAGACGAATCCTGTCTTGTAATATCTGCAATTTATTTTGCAAAGAACCTTCAATCTCCAAGACTCTCTCTTCGAATTTGTTGTCGTCTTTACCCTCGAGAGATCTCTTCTTCTCGTCGTTCATCTTCTTGTTTAGGAATTGCGAAAGGTTCGAGCTTTTCTTGAGCTTTTCTTTATCGGTTAATCTGCTAAACCTCTCGTCTAAATCTCTCACCTTTGACTGATCCTCGGGCCATGTGTTGATGAGTTCTCCGTCGCGGCTGTAATGGATTACACACGCTTCGATCTCGCACAGAGTCGAAAGCTCGGAGGCTTTCCTGAGAATCGTCTGTTCTCTCATGGCCAAATTGGTGTTCTTCTTTGCGGCTAGATTGTTGTTGACAGAGAAAGACGATTTCTTGAAAGTGGGTTTTCTTCTAACAGAGAGTTTGGTGTTCTTTCTTGTCGAAGAAGAAGACGAAGGATCCATTGTTTGAGAGACGAGAGAATTGAGATTAGTGTGAAATAATGAATAGTGAACACGACGAAAGTTTAGGGTTGGGTATTTAACGACGAAGGATGATTAGTGGAATTGAGGCTTTCTTGATTTCCTTTTTTGGAGTATCTTAATGTAATCTGTGCATTAAATGATCTGATAATTTCCTTATTCTCCAATTAAATATAACCGTTGGGGATTTTACAACGCGTATACATTTTATATAGTGTAGTATAGAAAAAAATAATTTATAAATTAGTATTCTTATCAAGAACAAGGCAACAATTCCGGATAAAGTGTAGTGTGTGAATGTAATATGTTTATGAGAAAGCGTGTGTAGATGTAATTATATCATCAGCAAGGAAACACTTTTTCAGGTAATTAAAAACAAAACCATATAATAAACGAAAACATGAAATTTAACATGATTAGGGACCGTGAAGCTAAACCGGTAAAACAGTTGGTATTCATACATGAAATTTAACAAGATTCCAACAAAAGAGGAACATAGAAGAAGTTAGCAAAGAGACAGGAGGAACCCACCCAAAAAGAAAACTTCAACAACTAAAGAAACTCCCAAGAGAGACTAGAATCAGTGGAAGCAGAAGAGATTTTGAGTAAACTTGATGATTTCAGAGTCGGACCACTTCTTACTCAATGAATGACTCATCAAGTGTATGAGAAGTCGAACTCTTGTATCCTCTCAAGGACATGATAGGGCACTTCAAGATATTTAGCATCCATATATACATCCACCTCCTCCAAACAAGGGAAATAGTCCAAGAAATGCTCAATCATGTTCATCTCTCTCACTGTTCCTGTAAACCCTCGAATCACAAACATTTTCACCGGACAAGATATGAGCGAACGTCCTTTGTCCTTCCTGTAGATGCAGTCACAAGCATCCCCGCATTTATCTGTCACGTCGTGCACGAGACCCTGATTACACAGAGACAAGAACGTTGTTATATAGTAAGCGATTACATTTTTTTCAACTGCAATCTTTTAACACTATGGTTTATCAAAAAAAACTCATACATGAATCATTAGATTCTCTAGTTGTGGACAGTTTCTTAGGAGAACAGGCATTGTTTGCCAACCTCTGTCCTCGTCACTCGTGATAACTAACATCTTGACGTTGTTGAACATCGGCATCGATTCACAGCATAGAGAAAGAACCTGAAACAAAGAATATATATAAGTAGACATTTTCTGCAACTAGAACAAGAGTTGGAAAAAAGAAAAGACACTAACCTCCATAGTATCAGGATGCAACTGAAGTTCATGAACGTTTTTTATACCGTTCATGAGCTTAACCACATTGCGAAACCTGAGAACCACATCATCTTTTAACAAACCATTACTCGCCGCTCTTATTCTCTTGGTTTGATCATTAGTTACCGAAAGTGCGATTCGAGCCACGTCTAGCTTCTCCATCCTAACTAAAGGATAGTCCTCCGCGGAGAAATCAGAGTAAGCCAAGAAACGCAGATTCGGGGTATCGAAAGAGACGCTCTTCGGGTTCTGAATCTTTCTCATCCCCGTAGTGTGGAAAGTCATCTTCTTGAGTGTTGAGCTCGACACGGTGTCGTCAGCAACTACCCAATCTATGCCTATCATTGCTAATTCCTCAAGAACAGGGAAACAAGGAAGAAGCTTTTCCATCTTATCACCACAAATGATCATCTCAGATTCAAGACGGAGAGTCTTAAGCATCGGTAAGAACGTTTCATCGGCTTTAACCCACCAATGAAGATACTCACTTGCTAATCTCAGATTCACTAGTGTACTGCTCACGAACATTTCTCGTGGAAGAATATAATCACCATCACCTACCGAATCAATGGAGAGATCAAGCTCAGAGACACCACGGTCAAGGACATTACGTATCCAGCGATCCACATCATCTGGATCAACACCTTCTCCACACTTGAGTGAGAATCTCTTGATCGGAGAGTCGCCCTGCAGAGACAGCACCCGATCCACGAAAACCATGAAGCTCTGAAGGATTCCGTGTCTTTCTCGCTTGCCCCATTCCGGATGGAGAAAGACAGAGTCGTCAAGGTCGAGACTTGGGGCAAGCGCGAAGAGGTTTCGCCATTTCTTTGAGAGGACCGATGTTAAAGCAGCTTCCTTTGTGGTGAGGAAAGAGAAGAGGTGAAAACGAACATAGTCTGGTAGATTGCTCAAGAGATCCATCAAATACACAAACCCTGCTAAGCAAAATCAATCAAGTGAAACCCTAAGGTTAACAGTGCGAAACAGCAAAATGATTTTGAGACTGTGAAAGATATGAGTTTGACTTGAGCACCTACCTTGAAGGTAATATGTGTTGCACACTTGCACGGGAGCATCGTTTCCGTCACTGGTGATACTGTTTATACATCGGACTCGTGGTCGGCTACTTTTTCGTTTTTGGAGGTTTTAGGAACCAAGATTCCAAATGAACAAGACGGAACATTCCTTTCTCCACGTGTGTTTCAGGGCATTTTTGGGCTTTAGATTTATTATTTTTCTTCGTCCAGTATCTTTAGAGGCCCAGTTAATTATATCCAATAAAAATTTATTAGATAGGATCTCCGTTTCAAAATAAGTATCGTTTTAGAGTTTTATTTTTGTTTTACAAAGAATATCATTTTGTATTTCCAATACAATTTTTTAAACAAAAATCATATTTTAACCCTGTTATATTAATATATTAATTAGAAATAGAATGTTATTTTGTGTGTGAATAAAGGGTAAAATAAAACTTAATATTTTTCTTAATTTATGTGAAAAATGTCAAAATGACACTTATTTTGAAACAGAGAGAGTATTAAAAATACACACAAACTACTAATAAACTGTTAAACTGTTGCAGGAAGTCAGAAAACCATTCATTAAATACAGGAAGTTTAAGACCATCTGCATTGTAAAATTTTCATATAGTTTTTTTAAAATTTTTTTTTAAATAATATAATAATAAATAAATTTCTCAAGTTTTGAAAAATCTGTTTATTTTTATATTCTTAAAAAAGTCTATTTAATATAATATATTTTTTTTGAGAAATTCTTTAATAAATTGCCAATGCAGATGTTCTAATAAAGAAATACTATTATATAATATATTGTTCATATTAAATAATATATTGTCTTTTCATGTATATACACACGTACTTGGCATATACAGTATGATGTATATGTGTTAATTTAGACATGATGATTTGTAAACCAATTTGGGGATAATTTAGACATTATGTATGCTATACGACTAAAGAAACACAGCCATACATCAGACGAAAAGCTGCTATTTGAAGTATGAACTAATGAAATAAAATTTGCGTTTGACTCCAAACCCAACCCATTCGAGAAAGTCATGAAGAACAGAGAAGACATCTTTATCAATCCTAACTTTTACGCTCTGAGTAGGAAGAGGAATTTAGTCGTCAGAGTGATTGAGAGCAAGATTCCAGTAGGGAGCAACACCAGCATCCGTGAAAACTTTCTTGGCAGCAGATTCGGTCAAGCAATCTTGTACATGAAACCTATGAAAACTCGGTTTCAAAACACTTCCTTGCCAAACCAACCAACACTTGTTTCCACCATTTTCCTCTTCTTCTTCCTCTTCATCTTCATCTTCTTCCTTCTTCTCCGCCTCTTTCCACTTTATTCGCTCCAGCATCAGCTTCTTGTATCTCTTTATTGTTTTGCTCTTACCCTCAACCACAACAATACTCATCCCGTCCGCCATCATCACACAACACCCTGTTAATGAGTTTTGACTTGCATCCATCTCCACCTTGAATCTTGTTTTGGGATGCGATAGCTTCTTGATCTTGTACACGGACACAACCGTCCCAACTGTTGTTGGATCATCAAAAAGCTTTCTTTCTTTCTTCTCATGTCTCTCCGCAGGAGTCAGCTTCCTCGCGGCGTTCCTGTCGGTGTGAGCCTGTTCACGCTCAGCAGCTGCTTTGCGGATCTCTTTCTCAAGCTTGGTTGGGTCTTGGGTTGCTTCAGACGCAAGGACCTTCATTAGGTTGCTCATTTTCACCTTTGGTTTTGGTGGTTTAATAAAAAACCTAGTTTGACCATCTCCTGTGACTCCTTTTCTTTCGCCTCACGCCTCTGTGTTCGCAGTTTCTTCCGTTCCTTCTTTGTCAGCTTAAGAGGCTGTGGAGGTGGAGGAGCTGCCTCTGCAGGCGGCTCTATGGGAAATGGATGCTCAATGTAATGAGTAATCTTTTCAATATTGAGATGGCTTTTATTAATGAGGATATTTGCATCCCACCACTCAACATAGGGATTGGCTCCTTGCGCTTCTCTTTTCTTGTGACACGTTCAGATAACAACTCTATCAAATTTGGATTAATATTATCATTCTTTGCTTTTGTCAGATTCGCTTGCTTCACCTTGAGCTTCTCTCTTGCTATATTTTCACCAAAGAGACACTTAGACCAGCTCCATCGGTTACATACTTTGAAAGTCTCTTAAAAAAAAAAATATTAATATTTAAACTATCAAAAGATCTAAACCAATCATAAGAAGGCATATGTTAAAAGAGTTTGTTAAAATACCTGAAACCGTGCCTTAGAAAGGAAATAAAGAAACGTTTTTTCTCCTTCTTTCTTAATTTTTATTATTTTATTAATATTTTTTTTGAAGAAATTGTGTTAAGAAACCACCGATGGAGGTGGTCTTAAGCTTCAGATTCTCAGCGTCTCTTGTCCATTTACCTTGCTCAACAAAATTAAAACTCATACGTCTAGGTCTCGAAATTTTGTTTTTATCAATATCACCCATCCTTGGATCGAAATAGGGGTTTTCTTGTGGATCTTGATGAGGTTCGAGAATCTGAAGAGCATCTTTCTTGAGGTTAATTTTCAATGTAGTAAGATTGCCTGGTTTAGTCACACTAATCACATGTCCTTGTTCATCTATCTCTCTTCCAAGTGCATCCAGACGCAGAACATGGACTTTGGTCGGTTTCTTTACAGCTGTCTCTGTGTGTGCCTGTCCTGCAATTAGGTTTCTTATCCTCTGAGCTTCCAGCTAGCTTCAAAGAGTTGACTAGAAGTCTCCGATGCAATAGAAACAGAACCCTCACGGACTTGAGCGTTGTTGTTCTCAGATTCCACAGCCACATCTTCAAATCTGCTACTCTTCCTCCTCTCGCCACAAAACCTAGGTTTCTTGTTTCCTTCTCTAGCCCTATTCTCTTCCTCTCTATCTTTTCTCTTAAGCCTCGCTTGTTTCTCCGTACTTCCTTCGTGAAACCTCTCATGATGATAGTGATTACGCTTCGAATCACCACTGTGACGTCCGCCTTCATGTTCTGGAGAATGATCGGCACTTAAATCTCGATGATGACCGTCCCGGATGCTCCTGGAGTATCTCTTCTTCTCTTTATCCATGACGAACGATTTGAGGAAATTTTATTAAAAGTGAACAAACACAAAAGGTATCATACACACGATGGAAAACTCCGCGAGGAATTGGAAAATTAATGATACTTTCCTTTTGTTAAATTTTTGGGATAACTTTGATACTCTTATTTTACTAGTTGAAATTAGAAACCAAAATTGAACTCTAAACATAAAAATTAAATAGAAATCGACTTCTGAATAGTTCAAAATCTAACTCTCTGATTTAGGGACTTAAAATTTCGTGTAATCTTAAACAAAATTTAGGATTACTGTGCTTTATATTCATTTTCTCTTAAACCCCTAGAACATTCTCCATATTCTTTTAGGAATCTACGAAAACGAAAACGACAATTTAGGAAGATATCTTACGAAACCTTTAAACAGAAAAAAAGAAAGATATTTTACCAAAAACGTGTACAATGGAAAATCTAACTAATAATAATATATTATCATTGGATAAAAAAAATAACAATAATATTAAATTATTAATATACCATTGGACCATTGGAAATTTGGAATAATACGACGACCACTGTTTCGTCGACACACTGTAGGTTGATGGTTTTGGCCTTTCTGTGAGTCTGTGATAGAGACTCGCATTGATTCTTTCTGTTTGTTTATATAGAAGAGCATGAATTAAGTTTTCGAGATCCTTCTCTTTCTCCTCATTCTTCTCTGCCTCCAATTCTTTTTTCTTTCTACTCTGTCTCTGAATTTCCTTCTTTTCCTTTTTTGATTCTCCTTCTTTTAGAGCATGAATTAAGTTTTCGAGATCAGAGGTCAAGAATTTTTGAGTCAGCGACTGCACTTAAGTGAATGTAGATATTCACCGGATAAGCCGATTGTAGAGGTGAGGCAGCCGATTGGTACATTATGAAACTTAATCGCTAAAAAATATTTATATTGGTACATTATGAAATTTATAAAAGAGAAAAGCCGATTGTAGATAAATAGTATCTATTGTTGAGTCACGAGTGCATAAACTTTGATATCTGTAATAGCAAAAACGAACAATATGTAGTAGAAGTATAGTTGGTTTGAAAACGAACTATTGTTGATAAATGATAAGTTCTCATCTAATAGCAAATTTAATAAATAAATAGAAGAAAAATAATATATAATTTGAAAATAGAAAACGAAATTATGCGTTTGGGATTATAGACAAAAAGGTTTGAGAATATGCCACAAGTCCTGGGTATATAATCCGGATCTGACGGACCCGACCCGAATCGATCCGAAAAAACAGGTTTGGTTTGGTTTCGGTTTTATCTAATAACCTGATTGATTTTTAGTTAATTTTAGTTCGGTTCGGGTTTACCCGAATAACCCAAACTAAACTAGAAAATATTTTTTATTTTTAATTTTATTTATCTAATTAAAAAAACTCCTAATTTTCTTAAATCAGCGGCTCCTTCTTTGCCTCCTTTCTCATTCTTCAACTCTCCTTCGTCAATTTTCCTTCTTCAATTCACTTTCTTCGATTTTCCTTATTCTAATTCTTCTTCTCCTTCTCTTTCTCCTCATTCTTCTCTGCCTCCAATTCTTTTTTTTTTCTACTCTGTCTCTGAATCTCCTTCTTTTCCTTTTCTGATTCTCCTTCTTTTAGAGCATGAATTAAGTTTTCGAGATCCTTCTCTTTCTCCTCATTCTTCTCTGCCTCCAATTCTTTTTTCTTTCTACTCTGTCTCTGAATCTCCTTCTTTTCCTTTTCTGATTCTCCTTCTTTTAGAGCATGAATTAAGTTTTCGAGATCAGAGGTCAAGAATTTTTGAGTCAGCGACTGCACTTAAGTGAATGTAGATATTCACCGGATTCTCTGCCTTGCCCAAGTTTCGCGGTGGTGTTTGAAGTCGTGAAACTTTGATGCATACATGTTCTATTCTCATTATCATATCTTTCTACCATTCAATTTGGGTTGGGCTTTTTAAAAAAATGTTATAATCATGAGCATCCGAAAACTTGAACTTGTCTAATGGACTTCTAATAAAATTTTACCTGGCCGGCCCAAAAATCTCAATTTTCGATTTTTTATTTCAGATCCTTCGGGTTATTCGGGTCAAAAAACGTTGAATTCAGGTTTAATGCAAAACAAACGGGTCTTATTCGGTTCTTAACAATTTTTCAATATCCGACCTGACCCGATGAAGACCCGAACCGAACCGAACCGATTTTTAATCGGGTCTTAAATGGATCCTAACCTTTCTTACCTGAACTATCCGAACCCGGAAAGATCCGATCCGATCCGACTCGAAGACCCGGACGCCCAGAACTGGCCCACAACCATAATATGTTGCCGCATCTCACGAAAGAAAGAAGGATATTTACGTAATTTTCCACCGACGGAAACTAGAAGTTAACAAATAGATAAAAGTGGGTCACTTATCTAATTACAACTGAAACATTTATAAAAGCAGAGAGACTCTTAGTCTCTTCTCTCATAGCAATTAGCACCAAACCAAATTCAAAATTAAAACAATAAAAAACAAAACCAAAAACTTCTCATCTTCTTCTTCACCTTCAATGGCGACGGGAAAGACCTATTACCAACGGCCGAGTCATCGCTTCCTTCCCACAGATCGATCTTACCACGTCGCGGCGGATTCCGGATTCGAGTTCGATGAGTCTGATCTGTACTCCGATTCGCCTGAATTTCGTAGGAAAATATCCACATCCGGTCGAACCGGAATTAAACAATCCGGTAGATCGTCTCCGGTTACCGCTACCACCACGAAGGCAGGGTCGGTTCCGATGAACGTACCGGACTGGTCGAAGATTCTTCGGGAAGAGAATCGTCACTGCCATAGAAGAAGCATCGAGAACGATGACGATGATTTGATAGACGGATGAGATCGGTTTAACGGTGGCGGCAGAGGAAGACTGCCACCGCATGAGTATCTGGCGAGGACGAAAATGGCTTCGTTCTCGGTGCATGAAGGAGTTGGGAGGACATTGAAAGGGAGAGATCTAAGTAGGGTGAGAAATGCGATTTTTGAAAAGATTGGGGTTCTAGATTAATATCTGAAACGAATAAGGGTTTTTTGGTTAGTTTTGATACTTTTGATATTTTACTTCTCTATTATATAATTTACAATTTTACAAATAATTCCTGAGAAGAGGCATAGATATTTATAAAAATGCCTACTTTTTGTTGTAATTTCGGAATATTAAGTTTTTAACGTCAGTGAGATAATTTTGGAGAAATTGTTGTACAAGTATTGATTTCTTAAGCAGGAAGTTTTTTTCTGTTTTAAATTGTACATCCAAATTCCTTATCGGGGAAATTCGTGTAGTACAAAACTTGTGGGGTCAAACACGAATAATATAGGAGACATGGTAAAAAGTTTAATTATTGGTGGGGGTTTTGGGTTGGATGTGGGTGGGGTTGGTAGGGAAAGCAGAGGTTACAATTACATGAAAGTGACATATTTGCATAAGAATTATTCTCAAATAATGAAATAAGATATTTTATGCATTTCTTTCCTTGCTAAAACTAAATTGCGATAAAATTAAAATTGAAAAATGACTATGTGCATTTAAGATATGCGGACAATTTTCTCAATTTTACATGTTTGTGTATTATATAAATTGGAATTAAAATTGATTGTTTTATAAGATTGGAAAAACCAGAAGTTGTGGAGCAAAAATGATGTGATGGGTTTGTTGTTGGGGTTTACGAAGGGGGCATGCAATTTTTGTGACCTTTGAGGATCTTGATTACATTAGAGATTATTTATTGTATGTATTTAAAATTTGTAAGGTATCACTGTTGGATGAGAAAGAAAAAGTGTAATTGGTAGATACCACATGTTACCAATATATTGCTGAGTGACGGTTTCAACCATAAGCGAAAACAACCAAAACAATAATTAAAATTCGGAAAAATCACATTTTAAACCTTCAAAGTAGGATTTACTAACACTTTAAACCCTGAAATATTTACACTCTTATTATAAACTATGAAGGTACAAAATTTTACACATTTAACCATCACAGTAGATCTCGAGTTTGCGCTGTTTAATGATTGGACGGAATTGTTAACTCCGTTAACGGAAAAGTGAACGTCGATTTGAAAAAATTATGTTTATTATATTACTATTATTTTTTAGTTATAGTTATTAAAAAAAAATATAATCCCAAATCCAGAATTGAAGGCAATTTTCTGAGTCTTCTTCTTCTCCTCCTTCAAAGCTTATAAGTTTTTTTCCAGATTCCAGCTCTTCCATAGCCTTCTACCAACTTCCCAAACTATCTTGGTGGATTCATGGAGCCAATGACTCGTCTTGCTACTCGGGTCAAATGATTCTGGGTCAAATTTCAACCCGAATATAATCTCTGACATTCTTTTCCATTCTGCAAACAGACATCGAGCATGCCCTTCTGATTCTGTTTTTCTGGTAGATCAAGCTCCTAAAAGGTCGTCCTGGAGCTCGTCTCTCTTGGAGCTCCCACTCGCTACCAAGCTTATTGGGTTGGGTTAACGGATCCTGCGATAAAGTATTGAACCTAGTCCAATAGATGACGATAATTCGAAACGTGACGAGAATCATTTATAATACATCGACCGCCATTAGTATCTGAATATATCTCGTCATGCTGAGAGACACAAACGTGGCTGATTTCTGTGACTTTTCAGATTTCTCCGACTTTTCTAGTTTTGATAGCTTCGTATTCCTCATTGTTATTGCTGCTCCATCATCTTATTCGGAATTTAAATCAAAATGAAAACAAAAGAATCAAAATGGAAACAAACCGAACAAATTTCTCACTCTTTAAAATTCAAACAATCACTCTTTCTCATGAATTCTACATCCCCAAATCAATTTGGGGGTTTTGGATTTAGGTGTCGGAGTTTTTTTTTTGATTTTTTTCTTTTCTTTTAATAATTAGAATTATAAAATAGTAATAAAATGATAATAATATTTTTACAAAAATTAACGGACGTTCACTTTTTCGTTAACATAGTTAACTATTCTGTCTATTGGGCCGGC